TACTCGCAACTTAATTGGATTTTGAAGTTTAAGAAATTAAGACAGATGTTTACAATTGCTCGTTACTTGAAACCTCATCAGTTGCGTAGTAAATAATAAAGTTGGATGCCTGGACAAAGACTAGTAATATACAATTGACCATTCAAGTGAAAAGACTAACCTTGCCCGTCGTCTCACAGGGCATTTGTTTCACTATCAGCTCCTTGGCTAGAACGGGAGCTGCTCCTCATCTCGTAGTTGTAGCTTAAGCCGCGGAGAGGCATGAGGGAGAGGGAAACCTTGTAGCATACCAAACAAGAACACTAAATTTATCGTCAGTCAAAGACGAGGACAACATCTACGGACATCTATACACGCCCTGTTCCTGCCATGGGTCGAAAACACCCAAATAATTTCGTACAGCTACTCGAAAGAGGAGGGGGAAGCAGATCAGCCACATCCGGCGAAAGGTGGCCGAGGAAGGAGGAAGGGGCCTCTGCCATCCAATGAAAGACTTGACAACCGAGTGATCGAGTTCCCTCTACCAACCTGCCTGAAGATTTTCCCTAAATAGGGAATGTGAACAGGTCGTCCTGCACTTCCCTCCCTCTCTCTAAACCAGGGCATCACGATCCTCATGCAAGAGCAGTTCTGACAATCAGACACACTCTCAAGAAAAAGGGCGAGCCATTTACGCCTGGCAGGTCATGCTCCGCTACACTTAGAGAAGCCTTCACCTATTTCCTCATCCGCTAAATGAAAGAAAATTGTAAGAGAGAGTAACCAACTGCTGAGCTGGCATTAACAGAGGGCACACTCAACTGCTGAGCTGCCATTAACAGCGCGCACACCCAACTGCTGTGAGCATCAACAGAAGCCAAATCCTAGGACCCCGCCTGCCCTCCCCCCACTCCCCCTTCTCTCTCTCCACTCTTTGTTTTGCTGTGCTTGCTTGGTGCTCATATCCCATTCCCCACATAACAGCCTGTCTCTTATACACATCTAGATATTGGAAATGTACAGCTCCACCATAGCCCAACCAAAAAATGGGTAGAAAGAAAACGAATTTGCGCGACCACAAATGGAAAAAGTACAGCACCACACAAAACCGGGGTGGGGGGGTGGGGTGGGGTGGGGGGGGAAGGGGAAGAAACACAAAACAGCAGCTGCATACGGCCAACATAACACAACCATCATCCGCCTTCACTGCAAAACGTCAGCACTTTGCCATGAAAAGTCAGGGACACAGTTGATAGATGGCAGCTTTTCCGTTTGCTTATCTGACGGCCAAGTTTGGCCAATTACAAAATCCAGTCAGGATGAGCTGCGTTGCAGTGTTACGCCAGACCAGAGGCACTCTCGAAGGGAGACACAGATAGATTTAAGGGGAGAGGGGAAACATTCAGCTACATGATTGGAGAGACAGAGACAGATATCCATGCTCCTTCAGGACATCCGTTAAATTTGGAACGATACAGAGAGAAAGAAGATTAGTATGGCCCCTGCGCTTTCAAGGATAACACGCATAAATCGAGAAACAATCCAAATTAAAAAAAAAAATAAAAAAAAATGCAGGGACCTCATCAGTTGCTTAACAATTAACAAATCTGTATGTCAGGATAGAACTAGTACACATTTGTCCATTCATGTGAATTTATTTCACCATCAGCTCCTGCTTATCTTGAACTGCTGCTCATCTTTTTTTTTTTTTTTTTTTTTTTTTTTTTTTTTTTTTTTTTTAACAGAACCTCTCGGCTCTGGCTCCTGCCATTCTGGGGAGCAACAGTCCGGTTCCTATTCCCCCGGCAAGTCAAATATGGA